TTCTCCTTTCATACGAAGCACATATCTACTAAAACAAAGATTTAGTTGGGAACATTATGCAAATGATAGTTCAAACACACTTAATATCTTACTTAAGTTCACTAGTCTATTCAACTCACTTAAGAATTCACATTTGACAACTTAAAATAAATTTCAACATAATTATAAATAAGTATTATAAACATAACGCTATCATGTTATATAAATTTCATTTCTCGAAGTGAGTCGAATTTGTATTTTTAAGTACAGCTCTCTTAAATATCACTTGGATCATCTGCTTAAAAAAAAAAAAAATCTTACCTTTATTTATCTATATGATAAATAAAGATGATTACCTATTGAGGACGCAAAGAATTTTTCAATGACTAAAAAAAAATAAAGACGGGTTTGATTTATTTTAATTTATAAAGATTAATTTTCTCTTATTAGACACGTCCATTGATCCTCAAAAAAGCGACCTTAAAAAATGGGTTTTGTAAAAAAAGACTCTTACATTGGTAAGAGAGCTTATTTTGGAGGCGTCACCTTCTTGGGAAAATTCACGAATTATTCATTTATTTGGAAATGACTAACTCAGATTTAAATAGAGACAAGGTAAGGGGTTAGATACAGTCTGAGAAAGGTGTTAAGCATCTGGACCGCCCGGCTAGAAATTGACCTCCTTCGTTATCTATATATTTACAATTTTGATAATATGACTAACTTTAATTGAGCTGTAAAACTTTTTTGTGCAATTTTTGAAAAGATGACAATCAAGCGTATTCTTATCCAAACATAACATGCTAATCAAGTAAAGAAAGGGAGGGAGGAGAAAAGAATACAACCCAATGGCCTATTCATACAATCTACTCTAAATCCCCATATAATTTTCTAAACCCACTAATTTATTACAATCAAGCAATTAATAGGATCCATTAAGATCATTTTACATAATACCCAAATAATATGAAAGCAATAAATACTAAAAGAAGTAAAACACAAACAAATACTAACATTCACAGAACATTAATCCCATTGACACTCAATCACAACAATCAACATAATAAAAATGTGAATGTTAGAATGATTAAACCTAAAGTTAGGAGAGTTAACAAAATAATAATGAAAAAGCATAAATGAAAAATGTTTGAAAATGTAAATGACAGAAATTTAAAATGAATAGAAATAAAAGATAGTAAATTAAAAAGCATTATTTAAAGGTTAAAACAAGATTTAGGTTCAAGACTTTGACATAAATGAAAAATGTTTGAAAATGTAAATGACAGAAATTTAAAATGAATAGAAATAAAAGATAGTAAATTAAAAAGCATTATTTAAAGGTTAAAACAAGATTTAGGTTCAAGACTTTGATGTTCATAATGGGTGATGAAAAAATATGACTATCACCACCTATTTCTTATTTTTTATTTCATTATTGTAGGAAATGGACAAGTTTTTATCGCAGTATAAGCAAAGTGGCTTAGTGCTAAACTCGAACAAACCCCAAATCAAAGCTACATTATTGAAATTCAAATTATGGACTCTGAAATGAAGATCCATGCGCCACACTTAGTGGCATGCGGGTCTTGTCCTAATCAGAAATCCAAAAACAAGTTATTATTTGGTTTGGCTGACCTTAATGGCATGCGCCATTTCTGACGCAATCAGAAGAACGTGATTGATCTCAGGTTTTCCTCACAGCCAATGCTAAGAAGGCGTTTTTAACGCACCAAAGAATGAAAAAGATGAAGAAAAGAGTTAAGGCTCTCAGAGGTTACCTAGTTGTGATTAAAAATCAAAGATTTTTAAGAAAATGGACAAAAAAACCCCCAAAAGCTCTCAAACTTGTTAGATGATCTTAATTCTAAGTTGATAGTAAATGTTTGTGGATCTTTGATCACAAGATTCAGGGAATGTTTTTGATGAAAAATGAACAAACTTTTGATTTCAGGCTAGAACCATAAGGTGTAACCGTAAGATCAAAGTTGAGTTTTCAAAATGGTAGAGTTTCCCTTAAGTGATCAAAAAAACCTCCCTATCTCTTAAACCCTTAGCCTATTTATAGGCAAATAAGGAGATGAGATGGTCTTTTCTAGGGTTTAGTTGGCATGGGCCATTTGTGGGCCTCAGAATCGGTCTAGGCCTGTTTTTACTAAATCAGACCAAGTGACATGCAAAACAAGGCAGTGCACTGAGACACTTCCCAGGTACCCCCAGAAACCCAAAAAAGTAAAAATGATCAAATAGATTACTTTTCTCAAACATGGATCAGTGGCCCAAGAATCAGAATGACCGGACCTCTCGATCTCATTTTATAGCAAAAATGTTATCATCACTAAGTCTTTTATGAGCAAAATTTAGCGTCTACATTAATCATATATTTGTCTGACATTCCATTCATATATTAATAACAATAAATATTTTTTTTAATTGATTTAAATGTGTTTAAATTAATTAAGAAAAATCTTAACTTTACACTTCCAATCGATCGCCGACACTGAAAATTTGATAACCAATGTTCGTATATTGCAGGGGTTTGATTGAGGGATCGAGTTTTACTGCAAACTCAAGAAAATAGTCCATTAGCCATAATTGAAGCATCCAAATCGATCCTTGTGATTGACCGAACGATTCTCGATGATCTTTGGATGGGAAGGAGTAAAATCTCTTATAAAAATGAACAATGACACACTAACCAAAGGCCAGTTCTGGCCCCCTGGCCAAAGTAACTGCTACCTTTAGACAAGACTTCACAACCTTGCTTGAAGAAATACATAGTACAAATCTATACATAAAGTACAGTATAAACGAAATCTATACATAAAGTACAGTATAAACGCTATTATATTCGTCCTCATCGGAAAGAGAAGTGTCCTCTCGGTGAGTTTGTACAAACTTGGTATAACTACAGTCCAACTTGCCAAAATCGAAATGAATATAGCTAGTGTTAACCGAAAGACTAGGGCAAACTATATCTCTACTAACGGAAAGACCAAATAGAAAAACAATGTATAGAAGTGAAGGAGACATAGGGTCGAACTTGAAAGTAAAGCAGTTGGCCGAATGAGACTAGAAGAGAAGCACCAGAAAGAAGAAAGGACTAATGAATGGCATCGATAGGTGACACAACTCAAGAAGTTCATAAATTTCGACCGATTTCCATAAGATGTGGTACATTTGTTCTAAATGGGAGTACTAAAGAAGGAAGTCTGATGAAAGACTCAGCCGGTTCTGGAGTATTTTATTCCAAAAGGACATATTATTGGGAAGGAGCCGAGGAAGAGAAGACTCTAAGGCGAAAAAAGGCAAAATGGGTGATAACAGGTATTCAATCTTCCAGGTCTATATATGTTACGGCATCCACCATTAATGAAGTATTATTAGCTAGCAGCTTAACCAGGCTGGCCCGATTTCTAGGATAGTCAGTTGCCATTTTGAGAAAAAGTAATCGATGATAAATTAGGTTAATACTAAAATGAGGAAAGAAAATGTCATTCTTGTAAATTTATCATTGTTTTACCATAGTTTTAAAATTTAATCTATAAATAATAAGTCCATTCTTGTAAATTTATCATTGTTTTTACCATAGTTTTAAAAATTTGTAATTCTATAAAATAATAATAATAATAATAATAATAATAATAATAATAATAATAATAATAATATTTAATACTATTATTTATTAAAATTAATTTGAAAATATAAAATTATAAGAGCATTAAAAAATTATTTCCAGCAGTCTCTTTCTTTTTCTGCTGGTCAGAGAAAAGTAATAATATTAATTTTTATTATTTGACATAATAATACAAAAGGATGGTATTTTTGAGAAAGGGTCTCTATCTTCTCTCCCATCTCCACTACAAACCCAAGTGTTGTTTCTCGTTATCCATTCATCTGTCTTCTCATCTTTCTTTTCTTTTGATGCATAAACAGTAGATTTCTGAAGTATGCTTGTAATATTTAAATAATTCTTGTCCAAAACTGCTAAAATTTAAATAATTTGCAAAATTTAAATTATTGTTGATCTGAAGAACCTTGGTGGTATTGAATACACCAGATTTCAGGTCTCTTGAATCGGAGATGACCTGGAGGAGGAGGAGGAAGAGGAAGAGGAAGATCGATCATTGGGAAAATTCAACTGAAATGGAGATTAGTAGAGAAGGTGAAGGAGAGACATTAGTGGAAAAGTTGTTCAGTGGCGCACCTCTATGCAAGCGTTCTTTCAATTACACAAAAAATTAAATTTAAAGATGTCATAAGATCATAAGATTTAAAGTAAAGAGTGTTACAAGACTATATAACAAAGGATAACATATAGCTAAGGGGATAAGTTCATATCTTTGTGAACTGATCAACATTTCTAATACAAGTATAACCAATTTCATTGAATTAAAGTGAATTTTCATTTATACTTAACACGAAAGTGTAAATTTACAAAATGGAATTCCATAAATTTTGAAATTCATTAATGCCTAACAAGATATAGATCGTGTTCGACAATATTAGTTGTTTTAATAGTCGACAATATTAGTTGTTTTAATAGCCGTTAGCTGCTAGATATTAACTGTTAATTGTTAGCTGTCCATATAGTTGTTTAGAGTAAAAATATTCGGTGAAAATAATTGTTTGATTAACTGTTAAATTTAAAATGATAAAAAAAAAACATTTAAATATTGAGTTAGAATTTTAAATTGACTATAGAAGCGAATTTAATATAATAAAAAAGGAGATAATTATTATGTGATGTGTTATTAATTTTTTATCAAAAAAATGTCAATCTAAAGTGCATAGTCCAGCTGTATAAAAAGAGATATTGTTGCAATATCATAGCAACTAAGTTTTGAACAGTTTAATTATTTCTTGATATCTAGCTAACTGAGGAAGGGATTCACGCGACAATTGAAATAATAAAAAGAGTTTTAAATTAAGGGCAAGATTGTCAATAAATTTTCAAAAAGTGAAACGATATACGTTAAGCCGCATAACATTTCACTAAACCCTATGTTATCCACTGAAAGCTATTTTATAAAACTACCTCACCAACCGATGCAATACATCAAAATAGTGTTTTGACATAGTCAAAACTCTAAACACTCCTTCAAATGCTCTTGCCAAACAGAGCCATTCATTTCAATACAATGCATGTAGAGAAGTATTGATCCTATCTTTTAGAAGCACAATGTACTTTAATTACAAACTTCGTTAAAATTACATCTTAAAACTATACAATTTCACTCTTACTATGTAAAGACTGATGTAATCCATCAATTAACACTAGAAAGCAACTTATTCAGTCTACATACTTGTTGTGATTCAAATAGGGATGGAAAGAGGTGTTCTTCCATCCTCTGATACAGATGCCCTTGAACGAAGCAGCTTTAGGAAGATCAAAGCCTTGGTCATTTCTTGGGCTATTTGAAAGAAAAAGCTTGCTACATTTGTGCTCATGTACAAAATTCTCTGTTTGGTGGAGTGGCCTGCTACAGTGAAACAATTGTACATCAATATCCCAACTTTCTTTCCATTTTTAGTGGGATGCATTGTTCAACCTTCAAAAAACAGAATTCAAAAGAGCAAAATTGAAACATATGAAGACCAAGGGAGTAAAAGAGCTTACTCAAGATCTAGGCAATATCCGACCATTATACATTTTATCAAGTAATTGTCTTGCGTCAGGCCTCCTTAGAAGACCCTTGTTATTTGGTAAACCAGTTCCTAAACAAACAGGACACACAAGTTTCCCTCGACCTGCTCATCCAAAGAACTAAAAGTCACTTCCCACTGAAATTTGAAATACTACAATAGGATAGTTGAAAGGAAAATTCAAGTAAATAGAATACTCATAAGACGATTACAATGAGGTTAACTCTTAACACATCCAAAGCAGAATGAGAATGAGTTCTGGACTCGATTCTCAAATCCCTTTTCACATTTCAACTTGTTCAAGAGCCCAAGAGTTTCTTAAATAAGGTTTTTATAATTTGCAGGGATCATTTAGCTACTCAAGAAGTTTCACCATCAAATAAAGAGAATGTTGTAATAAAAGTATAAAAAGGAAGCAGTACATGTGGGCATAGTTTGCAATTCAAAGAGATTCAGGCAATGCAATTGATAAGCTGCATATCTCTCTCTCATATAGAACCTTTAAATTTTCAACAGTTAACTGACAGAGCTAGAAAATTATATTTTCAGATATTAGTCAAATGCCAGGAGCATAGGAGCATTCTTCTCTCTCCCTGACTTACTTGTTACCCAAATAATCAATATACAGTATGTTTTCTACCACAAACATTCTTACTTTCGAGTTAACTGCTACCAGCACACTGACGTTTCCTTCAGAACTTCTTAAAACTCAGAAGATTTAAGCGTCCAGAGGATCTATATTCCCAAACACTCAAGGTTATAGGATTAAACAACTCACATAATGGATGCATAATTAAGTTTCTAATTTTAACAATATAAAGCAGTTTATTTTTTCATTTGTTCCAAATTATAAGCCACTTTCCTTTTTGGAAATACAATGGATTTCTCAATTCTCGAATATACTCTGATTTAACATGCTTTATTATCAACAATTTTCCCAGATTCTTTATTGAAAGTGACCTAACTATAATATATGGGTATATTAGGAAAAATGTAGGAAAAGTTTATTGTTCAAACAATATTTATTACATTAATCTGTGTGAAAATAGAAACAAGCCTATCTTAGTGGGATAAAGGAAGTATAATGCAATGACATAAAAATTGCAACATCACACAGGATGACACCTTAGCTGCATAATGTTAAATCGTGAAGTGGCTCCAAGTGTGTTGGATTTCTTTCAATAAATGATCATGCCATTATATTAAAAGCAAAAATAGAAAATTCTTTCCAGCCAAGAGCAATATATTGGCAGACAAGGAAAAAGCATGAATGAGAGTAAGACACAAATATGCATGTGTTCTCTAGTGCTAATACATCAAAATAGGTACCATAACAATTAGGGCATTCTGTGAACTCATAAACATCTTTAGCACGTTTTCTGTTTAGAGCTTTCCATTTTCCTGTACCACCACACATATCACCTATATAAAAAGCAAAATCAACATCATAAAGACCAGTTTAAAGGATAAATAAAGAGAATGAAACTTTTCTTTGTTATTTTCAGTGAATCAGTAGGAAGCTGAAATTGGCATTCATTAAGATGAGTTGAGAGAACGATGATTGGGATTATTTAGAAATATCTAGCATGAACCTCCAAATGCTCTAGTCAAAAGGTTAAGTACATGCAAGCTACAGAAGTGAGAAAAGACAGAAGGTAGACCCAGAATGACTTGAAATATGATTTACCAGAAGGAGACTTACATAAATGTACCTATAAGTTGCACTACATCAAAGGAAAAGGATTCGAATACCTAAATCAACTAGTTTAAGGATTAAGGTTCAGACTTAAGTTAGACAAATAACAAAATTCTAAAGGGGTCATAATGTTTCATTTTGAACGAATTCTGATAGAACTGGTATATTTTCCAATACCCAATGGGAAAATAAAATCCTAACATAATAGAATAGAATACCAGATGCACATTTAACCAACACTGAGATCGTGCTCCTGAAATATAATCTATATGAAAGAAAATCAAAATAATCCTTACAAAGTACAGCTCCACTGCCTAAACAATTCCGGCATACAGCTCTTTCTTTTCCATCTGAAGCAATTGCCTTTGGGATGGAGATGGAGGTTGCAGCATTACTAATCAGCACTAAAGTTGAACATAAGCAAGTAATACACTGGCGCCTTGATGTTGATGCTTGAGATTCCTGTCATGAAAACTCAAAGTTTGATAGGGTAGAATATCAGCCTTAATATTTGACTATAGCAATGCATGTGCTGATGTTTTTTTGCTTCAAACAAAGGCTAGAACCTCTCCCCATATAATCCTTGGAAGGACTTTGTTCTTTTACCATAAAAAAGATAACCCATTGAACAAAAGTTACTTCCATTGTGTTTTTTCCCTTTCTTCTTTTTATTCAGGGCAACTAATAAAATGTTGCAAAAAAATTAACGATTTTGGTCTGCATGTAATTTCTACAAAAGTGTATCATTAAGTTAGGGAATCAAAAAACAGCAGCCTTGTGCAAGAGAATAACATGCTACAATTATATCTTCTTTGTTTCAAGCAATTTTCTAATCTTGAGAATCCAAGGTAAATAGCTTTGTTTGGATAAAGATGTCTCTAATCACCAAGAGGAGACAATGCCTCAAAAATTAAGGGGTCTTGAACAGGTATCAGAAATGTACATCTGCCCCCTACATTCTTGTAAAAGAAACAAAATAGGACGGACTTTATATACCATTCAAATAGTTGGAACTTTTGATCAAAACCATGTGGAAGACTCAGAAAATACCAGTTTGTACTTCCAAAATAGAACTCTTAATCCAACTGGTGCACAAGCATGCTAGTGACTGCAAGAATCCCAGACCAAGAATGAGTTGCATGCTCAAGAACCATTTTAATTCCTTGAAAAGCTAAGGCAGCTACCCCCCTAGTGGCGCATACAAAGTCAAAGAATGCAGATTGTTATGATTTGAATTTTAAACTTGGTTATCATTACCTAAGATTGCACAAAATTTAATCTTCCAACAATGTGTAACAGTGAAAATTAAATAGCATACAGAAAAATGAATTAGCATTAGCACCATCTAACAGCTAATTTAACAATATAGTGTTATGCTTGAATGACTAAACGCATAAAAGGACGAAAAAGGACTAGAGGAGACCCATATCTTCAATATTCTCAATTTCTCCACTTTTCCACTCCTCGAAACAAACTGAGATTAATTCCATTTTTGCATTTTAACATTTTTCCTTTCTCCTAAATGGACTTTCTTTGCTATTACAGCATTCAATAACTTATAAACTAGAGTATGATAAGCATTTCAAAGTTGCCAAACTAGAGCAACAGAAGCACCTTCTCATCTGAAGCAATCTCAGAAACTAAAACAAATTCAATACCTATGCAAAGCAAGAATGGGAGTTGCCATTTAACAAACTAATAAAGCATTTCAAAACAAGGAAATAAATAGCAATTAGGAATACTTGTTTTTCCTTTTAATTATCCTTACCCGTCTGACACAAAATTAAATTAAATAGCCATAAAAGATAAAACCTTCACCTTACTTGACTCCAATGAAGGGTGGGAATCTCCTGAGTTGCAATTCTTATCCTCCAAACTTGATTTCAGTCGAAACCCGACTGACTTGGATTTAAGCACTATAAATTGCAAAAAATAACAATACATAGTAAAACAAAGAGAGGCTTCAAAACCAGAAAAAAGCCCACTAAAAAATTAGAAGCCTATCTGGGTATTCCATACAAATTCAAGAAATGCAAATTATTTTGCTCGTAGTTCAAGATGGACTTAGAACGTTTCATGGTAATCTTCATAAAATTCAAAAAATTTAAATTACTTATGCTCTTAGTTAAAGATGCAAATTCATTGCCTACACTACTACAAAGAAATCATCAAGAAACATTAATTCATATAAAGGTCAAAAGAAAGAGAGAAAGCTCACAGTGAGAAGAAGAGGTTTTAGAAGATAGAGAGAGGCGTTGTGGAATAGCAGAGAGATGAGAACTAGAGGAAGCCATTGTCGTCTTCTCTCTCCGTGAAAATAATCTAGCTCTTGTGGAGGGAGATGTCAGATAATTTTGCCTTTAATATATTATGACTAAATTACTATAATACCCTCTCCTCTTCATATAATTAGCACATTAATTTTTTTTTCTTTTGGTAAATATAGATGGCCGGAATCCGTATGAGGTTTACAAATTTAATACTACCTTGATTCTATTTAGACGAGAAATTCCTTTTTGGATATTATAGAGAATTTTATCTGATTTGAGTTCATATAATATGATTGAAGTACATAAGAAAGCTTATTAAACATATGGAGATATAACCATAGCTAGTCCAAATTACTTTTTGTGTTGTTTTTAATTTCAGATCTAAATGTGAGGGAATTTCTAAGCAGGAACAGATAAGAAATGGTAAACTCATTTAATGCATTTAAAATACCAAAGACAATATCTTAGAACGCAAAGTCTATCACATTATTAAAATGTGCACAACTTCTTAAAATGTGGATGAATTTAAGTGGAAAAAAATTTTCATACGACTACATATTTTGGGAACCATTTTTGAAAAAAGATATCCACATGTTAATAACTTCTCATCCATTCATTAGTACACCACTCGTAAAACTATAAACAAACAAAAGTAATTAAGCACAAAGGCGAAGAAAGAACATTGAACATACATTACTACTGAACCACAAACGCAAAACTAACTGTGGACATGTATTATTGACAACCATATGCATAAACTCATGAACTGGGACATTAATAATGAAATTGTGAGCATATAATCTAGAGCTATGACATTAATTATATTTGCAAGAAGATGTTGTATTGTTGTTGCTGCTTCTTTTATAATGTTAATGTTTACCTCGATCATAGTAGGCAATCTACCATTCCTAATTAAGCTGTTCTTAGACATATATTTGATTTTATAGTTGTAGTCACCTTGACACCTTAGGATCTCCACCATACAAGTATGAAAAGTTAGAAAAATCTTATTCATTTCAAGTGAAGGGAAAATATCGTAAGCCTTTATAACTGCACATATTCATTGGTCAATAGTTGTAGGAGCCTTTTTGTGTTTTATTAAGTCAATAACTTGAAAAAAACCAACGTCCATAACATTTAAACCAAGGCTATTTGGTGATTAGCAAGGTAAATTTATGTTTAAACCAAATTCAAATGTTAAATCTGAAAATTCAACACCTACTACATCTATATGTGGCTTGGCATTATCTTATTAGATTAAAATGGGCTTATTTTCACCTGTGGCTCCTCAACTTATGGGCCCTCATTTTACGTTCTCATTTTTATTTTGTCTCTTAAAACTCCCCCATCTTACATATTTGTAACATAAAACCAACTATGCCCATAAAAATTGTTGGACAAATGACTTGCCAAGCCAAAGTTAATATAAAATTAGTTTTTCTTACCATCTCAGTAATAAAGAGTATTTTCTCTCTCCTCATCCAAATAATTAACACTATAAAGAAAACATCAAATTGCGACTGATTTTAGCAACCGTCACCTTTGCCACTCCTTTTACGACCACTTTCATACCCTTTTGTGACAAATTATAGTGCTTAAATAATGACAAGATTTGCGATGTCTTTGCGATGAATCTGTGACCGACTAGCGACCACTTTTGCAACCAACATACTGTCTATCTCAAATTTTTGCTGGGTAAATTAGTGGAAACAGTTTGCAACAGATCGGCGACGGAATAGGGACCGTTAAGAAATCTATAGGGTTGCGAAAGGATTATATCGGTCTCAAAATTCATCGCTTCAGCGAGCAACACGTGTATTTATTTGTTTAACAGTTTATGATGAATTTACGACGAACTATGTAAATTTGTGATCGATTTTTTTTGACACGTCAAGTAATATTGCGACCGATTGGCGAGGTATTAGGGCGGTCGCATTTTTTAAGAGTTGAAAAACCCCAGTCTCCTTCCTGTGTGACAACAGTTGCAGTTTCTTCCTCTCTAAAAAATCTACGCCCCTCTTCCTGCTCCTCGCCATCCGTCGCTGTCCACCAACCGTCGAGGTGGTTTTCAGCGGGATTCCCCTCGCCGCTAGTGGTTCCGTCGGGCCCTCTCTCCTTATTGCGCGACTACAGTCCAGGTTCCTTTTTTTTCGTTTTTATTTTTTTTTATTCTGTTGTCATTCTTTTTTAATAGAAATGGAATGTTTTGCCTTCTATTTCATTTATTTGATGATTTAATCGTTTGTTTTGTGTTTAATGTTGTCTATTTCATTTGTTAAGTGAAATAAGATATGTTTGGTTTGCTAATTCAAAGTTTGGTTTGTTAGTAATGATTAAGATTTTCTAGAAATACTGATAATGAGATTATTTGCATATAATTATCGTATATTAAGAATGATTTGTTAATTTTTCTGCTGTTAAAGTTACTCAAAGTTTGATTTTCAAAAATAGGATTCCAAATTAAAATTTGATATTGTAAATGAGGTTAAGCAAAACACATTAACAGGTTTAATGTGAAAGGAATCTGCTTTTTGTACAAAATGTAAAAGCAAAACACATTAACAGGTTTAATTTGTTCTTTTTTTTTCCATGAGATATTTATACAAATCTATCTAGAAATAAGCTTGTAAAAGCAACAACACAAATTACATAGGGGATTAAACACAAGGTTTAATATTTTGTATTTTGTATAGGGTTGATTTTTTTTTTTTTTAGTATTTTGTGATCCTGCTCCTCGCCCATCCGTTCCGCTGTCGCAGCACCGTCCCGAGGTGGTTTTCCAGCGGGATTCCCCTCGCGCTAGTGGTTTCCCGTCGGGCCCTCGTTTCTCCTTATTGCGCGACTACAGTCCAGGTTTCTTTTTTTTTTTTTTTCGTTTTTTTAAAAATTTTTTTTTTTATTCTGTTTGTTCCATTCTTTGTTTTAAAATAGAAATGGAAGTGGTTTTGCCTTCTTATTTCATTTATTTTTGATGAATTTAATCGTTTGTTTTGTTTGTTTAATGTGTCCTATTTCATTTGTTAAGATGGAATAAGATAATTCTGTTTGGTTTGCTAATTTCAAAGTTTTGGTTTTTGTTAGTAAATTGATTAAGATTTTCTGCTAGAATACTGATAATGAGATTATTTTGCATATATTAATCGTATTATTAAGAAATGATTTTGTTTTAATTTTTTCTGTCTCTTGCTGTTTAAGGTTAGGGTCCCCAAAGCAAAGTTTGATTTTTTTCAAAAAATAGGATTCAAATTAAAAAATTTGGATATTGTAAAATGAGGTTTAAGCAAAACACATTAACAGGTGTGGTTAATGTGAAAAGCACGCGATATAGCACTCTTTTTTTTGTTACAAAAATGTAAAAAGCAAAAACCACAAATTAACAGGTTTTAATTAAAATTTGTTCTTTTTTTTTTTTTCCATGAGATATTTATAAACAATCTATTCTAGAAATAAGCTTGTTTAAAAGCAACAACACAAATTACAATAGGGGATTAAAAAAACACAAGGTTTTTTTAAATATTTGTATTATTGGTAGTAGGTTGATTTTTTTTTTTTTTTTTTTAGCTATTTTTGTGATTTATAATTAGGGCCTGGATTTTTTTTCTTTTTTGAGAAGGATATAGGCCTCAAGACCTGGAATGAAGCTCTTAACATGTTAGTGGTTTTTTTAGTCATATTGCTACAACTTGTTGAATTTTGGCCTAAGTTTAAAATTTGCAAAACTTTGTTTATTAATCCCTTAAACTTGATTACAGGTAGTTTTTATTTTGTGATTCTATGATAGGGATTTTTGTTTTAATAGGTTTTAGTATTGTTAATATTTAATTAGTTTTTAGTTTTGTGTTATATTAATTTGTATTGAATTTTTTATAATAGTCTTTGATTGTCAATATGTTTAATTTAGAAATTGAGATGTTTTTGTTTTTGAATTTCAATTCCTTATTTGTTCTATTTTTAAATATTACTTTATACAATGTGATTTGGGCTTGATTGGGATGTTTTTGAGTTTGTATGAAAATGGAGGCCTAAGGTAAAGTGCATAAAGGTTGAAGTTTCCAAGGGTGTTTCGAATAGTAGAAGTGTTTTTTTTTTTTTTTTTCATTTAGTTTCGACATTTTTTATTGATTTTTTTTTTTTTTAGTATTTTGTGATTTTATATAGGGCTGGATTTTTCTTTTTGAGAAGGATATAGGGCTCACCTGGATAGCTTAAACATGTTAGTGTTTTAGTCATATTGCTAGACTTTGAATTTGCTAGTTTAATTTGCAAACTTGTTTATTATCCCTAAACTTGATTACAGGTAGTTTATTTTGTGATTCTATGATAATTTGTTATAGTTTAGTATTGTTATATTTTAATTAGTTTTTAGTTTGTGGTTAATATTATTTGTATTGAATTTTAATAGATCTTTGATTGTCAAAATGTTTAATTAGAATTGAGATGTTTGTTTGAATTTCAATTCTTTTGTTCTATTTTAATATTACTTATACAATGTGATTGGGCTTGATTGGGATGTTGAGTTTGTATGAAATGGAGGCCTAGTAGTGGCCATAAGTTGGAGTTTCAAGGTGTTTCGAATATAGAAGTGTTTTTTTTTTTTCATTTAGTTTCGACATTTTTATGGGGAAATGCTGCCGAAATTCATTAACAAATTAAACTTAGATTTTCATTACAACCTTCATTGCGAAAGTTCAAAACCTTGCGAATGAATATAACATTAGAAACACAAAACTTAGTTGCACGTTCAATGTCTTTCTCATTTGTATTAAAGAGAAGACACTGAATTGTCCAAATTGGACAGTCTAAGAATGTCTATCAGTAGAAAAAGCACGAAAAAATAAGCTTTTGCTTATGCGCTTTTCTAGAATTTATGTTGTATCTCCTCCTGTGTTCTCTGGATGCATATATAGTGGGTTCAATTGATCTTCATTACTTATTCAGAGAACTATGGGAAGATGCTGCTAAACTATGGGTTCAATCGATCGATTTGTGACAACTATTGTTCTTTTAATAACACACGTTGCGACAGAATAGCGACCGAAATTCAAAATAGGCGACAGAAAATTACAAT